TTCTTTCCCTTCTTTCCCGTTCGATCATACCTCGTGTTGTTTTTGCACCTGTCATGGAAGCAGCGTGACCGTCCCAGCATATGGCCAGAGCACGTATCGCCGCGATAACTTGTGCACTCACCTGGAAGTGAAAGCGCACCCCTAGTGACTGGAAACGCTCCCTAGATGTCAACAAACCATAAACATACTTCCTAGAACTGTATTGACTAACAGCTGGGTTTTGGAGTAATAACAGCGCCGGTTAACTGCGAACCGAGGAGGATGAGCGCCTGTAAAATAATATTCTGAAATCTCATTGCCCAGAGCACAAATAAAGGTCCAGCTAAGGCAGGCATCAGTGCCTGGAGTGCAGCAACAATCTTTTTTTCATGTTCATTATTATATAATATTTTGCAGAAATGTGATTTATATAAACTCACTGATATCCATGTCATAACATAACAATAACTCACAAAGCAGTAGCCTCCTCCCTCTTACTTCATCTGTTTTATTCAGCCAGTATTCATTTTTAATGAATCATTTATGACTCGAGTGACTTTATCCGAAACCAATTCTGTAATGACTCGCAAACACCATTTCTGCCACTAGAGATATGAATAAAATTGAGATTGCTCTAAATTGATTTCTAAAGGTAATGGGATTAACTGTCTTAGTGTTGATTAAATTAATTTCTCTCGCCAGGCGCAGCTCCATAACCCATTCAAATTTGTAACACTCTCTTTTTCCATCTCACACAGGAATATGTTGCTTACAGCCACACGGGCAGGATCATACCGGCTATCTGGTTCCGATACGACCTCAGTCCGATCACAGTCAAGTACACCGAGAGGAGACAGCCCTTCTACCGCTTTATCACAACAGTGAGTGAATTCTTCTCAGGGCTTTGCCAGAAAAAATCTACTTCTTCTTAAAAAAAATCATTTTATTACAATTCAAGGTCTTTTAAAGGTCTTAAATATGGTGAAAATTGTGATTTTAGGTTTTAAACGTCAACTTAAAGTGGAAATAACAGATTTGTTTTAGCCACATAGTGGCAGCGGAAACAAAACACATTATTTTTTACCATTTAAGTTGATTTGGCTTATGGCTCTAACTTATGGGCAAACAGCTGCCTTTTTGCACATCCAGCAGATACAGAGGAACATTAGTGTCCATTTCGAATTTTGGTGTCTCAGTCTGGTGCATGTAAGTCCAATATTCACTCTCTTTTAGCTGTGGTTTGGTCTCTACCAACTCCTGCCTTAAAGCTGCACAAAATCATATTTTTGTAGGACAGAGGGTGTTGTATTCTGTACTGATGGTAAAGACCCTTGACGCAAATTTGTGATTTATAATATTGGGCTATATAAATAAAAATTATCTTGACTTGACTGTTATCAATGGGAAACAGTGTAACACAAAAGCCGTTGCTTTTAGTGATGAAGCCAACTGTGCAGTTAGTTCCTCTCAGCTCTCTCAAGCTTTCTAGCATCTTTCAGCTAATCATTAAGGTTTTACTGCATCTTTACTGTTTTGGTTCACTCTTGGCACTCTTATCAACTCTGTTTTCACCAGCAGAGGCAGCTTGTGAAAAAGCTCACCAAACAGACAAAATTAGCGACTAGCTGGAGAACATAGTGTAGCATTTAGCAGCTAAAAGACTGATATTTCCCTCAGGTGTGAGTGGAGGCCAAAAACAAAGCTAAAGGGAGAGAATACTGGGCTTATCGGGTGGCCGGAAACAGGACTCCAAGTAAATTCTAATGCTGTGATGTGTCTGCTGGATGTGTAAAAAGGCAACTGTTAGCTAACACGTTCACCACAACAACTTATATAACTTGTTGTTTTTTTCCTTTATCTTTATTGGTCTCATAAAAGGTCTTTTGAAGTCTCAGACCTAAAGAGCTTTTAGGCAAATACGCTTATTTTAGATGAGAATATCGATACCTGAATGCTTGGCTCTGTCCAAAGAAAACAAAGTTTAATCTGTATAAAAAACCAATTCCTTTTACTTCCTGAATTCCCTCTATTTTTCTCTGCCTACTACCTGATCTTCTCAGTGGAGGAATTTTGGCGCTGCCTGTAACACCTCATTAGCAAAGTTTTCTGCTGACTGATAATGCAGGTCAGCATTTAATTGGCTGCCTGGCTGATGAGCTAAACCGTTACTTGTCTTTTGTGTTGTTTAGGTTTATCATGACTTAAGACATGGGTAGGATATGACTGTGCTTATAGTGTCATTGTGAGTCATGGCTTAAGATTGTGAGTCAAGCTGCAGCAGGGCTCTTTAGTGGATTCCAGCACATTCTGAGGTGTCAGTGCAATGTATTATTATGGTTGATTCAAAGCAGCTGATGTGTGTGAGCCATTTATAACCAGGAGAGAAAATCTTTTTAATTGGTGAAACTGACAGAGTGACTTGTTTTCTGTAGATCTGTGCCATCGTTGGCGGGACATTCACAGTCGCAGGAATCATCGACTCCTGTATATTCACCGCTTCAGAGGCCTGGAAGAAGATCCAGATAGGAAAAATGTCATGAGGACTGTTCCCCTCCCCTCCTCACACCTTATTTATAAGTGCAAAGTTGCTATCCTGTTAGCTAAATCCAATCCTGCTCAAACCAACTTCCTTTTGGAGACTGTATCATCGTGAACCAGCGAAGTGGCTCCGGCACTCGATCTAACTAGCAGGCTACACGGCTGCGTCTCAGTTACTTAAGGTCCTCTCCTTTTGCTCTGGTGACGTGTGGACGCTGACTATCACATGTCCGCTTCCTCCGTTTTCAGTGTCAAGAGAGGAGAGCTCTTTTATTACTGTGGGGATTATGTCTAAATGTGTCAGGGTTCAACCAGTATGGATATTTGAAGGCTAAACCTGTTTTTTTTTTTTAATTAAGTAAAAAAGAATCTAATATTTGTGCTGATATTCAGTTTTTTGGTTTTTTTTAATCTGGCGCTAAAACCATGTGTGAAAAATCTCCATATAGGGACAATTTCAATTTAGAGTGGTATACAGACAAAAAGACATAAGTCAGTGTTTAAATTAATTCAAAAAGGGATCAGACAGGTCTATTGTTCAACCTGTATATCTGTCCAACTGTGCTGGGTTTGTTTCTCCAATACTGCCAAAAGAAATGATCATTTGAAGGAAGTTTTCAGGTTTGTGTAGTGGGGCGCGAACTGGATTCTAATAGTATTTCAGTAGTTCATACTGTCCATAAAGGTACATTTTATATCATGTGACACTATTCTTTTCTTCAGCCATACATTTTATCTCCAGTATTCTCCAGAAACTGTCTGCCTTTTTAGGTTTACCATCAGCTCTCAGGCGTCTTGTCTTTCTCTTTCAGTGGCTGCCACTGAAACCTGAATTTCCTGAAGTTTCTTTCATGCATGTTACGGTAGATTTACTTTTTAGAGACTTTTTTTCCCAATACAGTGATCATTGTTTACCTTTCAGTCCATTTATACCAAATATTTCATCAGTGCTGTTAAAGGTCCTAGCTCTGACCTTTTCCTTTGCCTTTCAATTATTGCATAAAATAAAATGAATGTCTAATTTTTCCCAACAGATTGGTTAGGTTTGGTTTTTTTAAACACGGTACATGAATTTGTTTACTTCTTGTGTTTCCATGAAGTTGTAAATTGTCAGGAAGATTTGGTTTTGTAAGGAGAGAACTTGTAGGCCAGGATGTCTTTCCTCTTTGGTAATATTTTTCCCTTTTATACTGTAGTATAAAAGATCTCTCTGATCAAGGACGGTGATGACCACAGTCCCTCGGAACTGGTCTTTCTGGTTTATTTTCTTTTCTGTCTCAAATTACTCTGTAATGCTATGTGTTCCTCAAGTAAAGGTGCCATAGAAACCACTGTTGTACTAACCTTATTTTTGATTTTACTTCCTCATTTTGAATCCATTCTGTTTAGGATAGATTTGGTTGTACAAGTTTCTAAGGGAGTACTTTCCTACTAAACTGAGGTTTCACATAAAGGATTTTATATTCCTGGCCTCAAATAAGTGAAAGAAATCAGTCAATTTCATAATTAAACCTAACTAGTCAGGTTTTGGAGTCCAGGTTGCAAAGGAAGTAAGAAATAGGTGTTATGGTGTCAGCATGAACTCCTCTTTTTACCTGTATTTGTCCAGGTACCGTTATCAACAATTATCCAAAGAAACTGAAAATGGAACCTTTGCACTGCCGATATTGTAACACTAACTAAGCTCTAGGGCTATAATTGTATGCATGTATGAAGTGGACTTCGCACCCAGTTGCTGCTCATTTCCCTCAGCTGGCAGCCAGACACCCCGCAGGTTGTCATCTGTGATGTGAGCATGTAAGAGGGTATTAAGCTGTCACAGCTGTCATCATGCTTACGTCCAGCTCTGATAAGAGGTGCTTAGTGTGAGTCACTCCTTTATTCATCCTACATCCTTCTGTTTACCTCCGTCACTTACTCCTTGTTCATGGTGTCGTTTATCCAAGCGTCTCCACCTCCACTAAACAACACAGATCCACAAATATCTGCTGGCTTCGTTGATTGGTCCGTTAATGGGGATCATCACAGAGCTTGTGGCTCTAGTTTGCTGTGGACTGTAACTTAACACGGCATGACAAATGCAAATTTGCACTTGAAACATGTACCTCGCTGGTGTAATGACAGCTCCAACTTAATAATAATAATAATAATCAGAGAGAGGAGAGCAAGAAGAAGATAAATTTCTTTATTTCTTCCTATATGAGTCATAATTTGTACTCTGTATATAAAAGATAAAAATATAAATGTGTGAATAGACAATACTTAGGGTTTGTTTGTCATAATGCTGCCACCCAGTGGCTTATTAGAGGAACTTCAGGCACATGTAGCTCAGTCTGTTTTGTTGAGGCAGCAGCCTGAGAGGAGGGAGTTTGAGATGAGTAGAGGTCAGCTCCAGTCATAAGGATCCATAACCTTATCTTCATTAATAAATGACTAGCTACATGTCAATACTGGGATGTTACTAAAGCCTACACACCTCCTTTGACCTGAGCTGCCCACTATTTATTTATTTATTTATTTATTTTTTTAACCCTTTTCATCCTCTCAGGCTGCATCTTTGGTAAGTTTACACATTAGAGGAGGCCAGGCAGGGGGTGTCGGGCGAGGAGAAGAAGTCGCAGAAGCCTTCCTCGGACAGGTGTCCGTACTCGTTGTTGTAGAAGGTCTGTCCTGAAAGCTGGCTGAAGAAGTTGGGACGGTGCCTGGAGCTTCCAGCGCCACTGCTTCGACCCAAGGAACCATGGGAAGCTGTCAGAGGCTCTGTGCTGCTGCTGCTGCTTATACGACTGGGGACAGAACAGCTCTCAGCATTACTGTCAAGTAGTGACAACTAAGGCACACTAGCAAAAGTAGATGTATGGTATGCTAAGTTAGGACATACAGAGATGTCTGTGGGTATGATTGTTTCTCAATTTTCTCATAAGAGAAACTTGTGGAGAACCAAACTACTTCATGTTCATCTGGACGCATATTCAACTGCTAAACCAACAATGAATTGATTGTACTAACTAGGGTCTGTATAGCCAAAGCCTGAGCTCTGTTGTTGTCCAAAAACTATTAAAAACACTGTTGTACTGCTGACATGTTTCTTTGTTGGCTCTGTAGTCCATTCCACATACACTGTCCTGCTGCTGTAAATCCTCAAATCCACAGCTGAAAATAGTCCCCAACATACACACCAAAGACCACAGCGAACTCTAGGAAATGTATATTTTTCTCCTTGCATACATATTTTTGTCTCACTTGTCCATGAGGTTCTAGATTTTCCATATTCTATACATTTTTGGTTTTGTTTCAATTCCAGCTAGTTTTTCTGTAATAACATCTGTCTTTATATGGCTATTGGTTACTTGGGATGGGAAGTTGTTCACATAATTTAATGAATTCAAAAAATGTTTTTTAAATGATACAGAGGTAGGTTTGTCTCTGGCTATGCTTAGAGCATAGTGATAATTCATGTAATTAATTGGGAGCTGCTCTTCGATATTCCTCCTACACTTTGCTGTGAGTAGGAGTGAGTTGCTTGATAATTTCGTCTTGTTCTTTGCTTTTACCAATGACCTTTTTTTTGCCTAGTTGGCTTTTCAGAGCTTTTGAAGTGTGATTCTCCAAACGTTTAGAAATATGGACCCTGGGTTCAAATTACTCAGATCATATTGCTTACTCTTACCTACCTATGCATGAATTGAGACTGCTGATGCTTCTTTTGGAAATCTGCTGTAGTTTCACTACACATAAGGCTGCGAGTGACTGTATTCTACACGCTTCCAAGCAAAGAGACAATAACAGTTTTCTGATACCAACTCTGAAACGCATCTATAAAAGTAGCCTTTACTAATACATCTGAAAGGCCTCACTCTAACCTGACCGGCATTGTGTTGTTTCACAGTGAATAATAATCAGTCCAAATATCAAACACTGACATTGAATAACCGTCTGCACATCTTGTGTGTATTACTTTTAAACAATAATATGGATCATAGCTTTTGTGTTGCTAACCTTTTTGAGACGGCACCCCTGTGCTTGTGTTCAATTCTCTCAAATTCTTCGGAGGCCAGAACCATCCCGCTGTCTGTCTGGTTGTCCTGGGAGGAGACACAGTTGGACATCATGTGAATTAAATGCCTTGGGTTCACCCCGCTGCAGCAACTATTTTTGTCAATTATCCGAGGAGAAAATTCCCAATGTCGAAGGGCATTTGCAAAATGTCACCAATCAGTTCACATTTTCAACAACTGATGAGAAGATAAAGAGCTCACTTGAGGAGATTTCTGTGGGTGCATCTCCAGGGGCAACTCTTCAAATGTCTTCACTCTGGGCTTGCACATTTTGGAGGGTCCCACAAAGACACAGCCGGCAAAGGGCACGCAGTTATAATACCTGGTCAAGAAGTGTAGGAAATTTGATCAGATTAATACATGATTGACACCATGGGCCTCCTGGTGACATGAAAATACCAGGGATAGATAAAAATCAGTAAAAATAGTAGTAGAGCAGGTGGGAATACGAGCTAAATAATTTGCTATAAGCGGAAAAAATTGTTATTAATATTATAATTTTAAAATGAAGTTTGTAATGAATCGAGAACATTTCAGGTTTCAGTGTTTTGAAGGTGATGATAAAAGGAGATGTTCCCCGGTGGGGGATCATTTATCAGCACAATGATTTTCTTTTTTTATTTTGTTAATTTTCAGTAAGGGCCTAGAGGCTGAAAGTATTCAGTACTCAAAATAAGGTAAACTTCAAAGCAACATCCGAAAATACAGACATGATAATACATCCGGGTAATAAAAATGTTTTCCCCATCCCATAAAACATCATGACCAAAGTGATCTTGAGACTCTCTGAAGGTCTGTGAACCCTAGTTTAATAACTTTAAGGGCAGTCCCTTGATAACTACAAATTACTGATTGATAGACTGGAGAGCGCTTTTGCGTAAAGTAATACCAACAGGATGGGAAATAATGGACATCATGCAAGAACCTCTCATACAAACAGATTCACTCTTAAGTGACACATATGAGTGATTTAAGAGAATTTGTCGTATTCACCAGCAGAATTTGAGAATAAACTTAACAGGTGGTCCAGAATCTGTCATAGAATTCAGACTTAAGAATGATAATGCGTCAGTATGAGTCTGTTGATAAAAGGATGAATACCGGAAGATACTGGAATCCACTCAAATAAATATAACTTAATGCAAATTTAATATTCTGTTCACCACATCATGATCATCATTATTATGGCTTGCAAATTTACTGAGGTGTTTTAGATTTTGTGATTTTACTGGCATATCGTGGCATGACAACTCGTACAGTTAAATGGCTTTTAGGAATATTCTTCTTGTTTGTCCCTGTATGTGCAGGTTGAGGTCACCAATAAAGGAAAATGCTGGTGATCTTCTATGTTTTGTTATTGCCAATGAATCCCATGAAAAGACCTAAACCTTAAATACGTTAGTCCATCTCTCAATACTTTGCAACTTTTCTTGCCTGTCTGTGGCTTTCAGCCACAAGACCATTGGTTCGTACTAAATGTGTATCTAATCTGTATGCTATACGTTCCTTTCTAAAGCAGGCAAAAAAGTAAAAACAGTCCTAAAACAGCTGAGATTTTAAGCAAACTTAACTCAAAAGGGCCTAAATAGTGCATTACATATGCATTTTCAGCTGTGGATTTGGTGCACTAGTGAGTATTTAGGAAGGGTGGTGTCTGTGAGATCGGCTCAAAATAAACTATGGTGTGTTCATGGTAATTAAGGAACGTGTCAGCCAGGGCAAAAGTGTGGCTTAGTGATGTGTTTTGATAGTATGGAGGAAGATAAGATATATCAGCCTTTGGTTACACAGACAATACTCATTCATTGTGGGTTGTGGACTCTTCACTGGATTGTTGTCAATAAGAATAATCTCACCAGATAAAATGCTTTAAGGGTTGTTTCTTCTGATGTCAGAATCAGAAATACTTTATTGATCCCCAAGGGGAATTTTTTTTTCATTAGTTGCTCACGTTGTTAAACAAGGCTTTAAAGAAATAGAAATAATAAAAAAATACATATAGAAAATTGAAAATATAAAGATATAAAATTAAAAATTGTGAAATGAAATGTGCATAGTATTCTACAGTTTGTGACAGAGGTGTAATAAATAGTAGTAGAGGAGGAGCAAGATGGCGCCTGTAACTGGCAGAGCCGCGGCTCGTTTCCTGCTGTGTAAATTATTAATGCTCTGTTTCTCAGTGTACGTGATCATCTCAGCCTGCATAACAGATGGATGTGTTCTGGCTGTATGGACTTATGACCGGGACTCTTTGTTTCACATCAGAGAGTCGATGGAGGTCCTGTTTGATAATTACGACAGGTTCAAACAGGCATTTCCTCCTCCATTTGCTATCGATCCTGACTCTCCTGACTACTTGCTACTATACCGGGCTCCGGGTAGGGTCCGTAGGAGATTCAGGAAAAGAGGCTTGCGGTCCGGTGTCCAGGTCAGGCGTAGGCGTGCCGCAGCGCGCGGTGGCTTTGTTGTCTTCGGCCGCCGGGACCGCATTCAGTGCCTGCGGCGGATTCCTCTTCACGATGTGTGCGGCAGCGTAGCTTCGCCGCCGCCTGTTCGGATTTCAACGGGTGTCCTGGATCCTTCACAGCGCTGGAGTGGTGGTCCGAGACTTTCGCCGCAAATGTTTACTTCCGTGTTTGTGCCGGCTCTTTCCAAATGGACCGGCAAAAGACCATGTGACCGCTGGTCGTGCCTGCAACCAATCCCGTTGCAAAGCAGGGACACTGCCTCCGTGACGTTCTCCAAAATGCATTTCGGCCTGTTGAATGCTCGTTCTATTGCGAATAAATCGCATTCATTAAACGATCTTTTCACAAGGGAAGGCCTGGATATTATGTGTTTGTCAGAGACATGGCAGAGAGAGGACGAGCTTATTCATTTAAATGAGCTCTGCCCAGTGGGTTGCTCTGCTATTGGGAGGCCCCGCCCCTCTCGTCGCGGTGGTGGACTGGCTATTGTGCACAAGGATTTCCACAAATGTAATGAAATTTTGCCCCAAAAATTTTCTTCTTTTGAATTGCAGATGGTAAAGGTGGTTTTTTATCCCCCTTCTACTGTATTCTGGTCTATCGACCTCCAGGCCCTGCTGCTGTCTTTCTAAAGGATTTTAGTGAATTCTTATCCTCTATAATTAAGCTGGAATCTGTCTTAATCCTTGGGGATTTTAATCTTCATGTAGATGACAACTCATCTTGCCCCGCAATGGAATTTTTAACATTGACTGAAACTTTTAATTTTAATCAGCATGTATCTGAGCCCACTCACCAAAAAGGCCATATTTTAGACTTGGTTTTTACACTTGGCCTAGATATATTAAACGTATCTGTAAATGATGTCTATATGAGCGACCATAATATTGTTCTGTTTGATCTTCACTTCAGTTCTGACCCAAAGCTTCCAGTAGTTAGGTCTCAGAGACGTGTTATCACGGCAAATACTGCAGATACTTTCTCTGATTTGTTTGATCCTGCTCTAGTTATGGATTGCCCTGATGTGGATGATTTTGTTCACTGTTTAAACAATCACTGTGAAAAGATTCTGGATCAGGTGGCCCCTGTTAATTCAAACTTGCCTACTCGGGAAAAAATGTGGCCTTGGATTAATGAAGAGATTTTAAAACTTAAGAGAATGTGTCGAAAGACTGAACGCCTGTGGAAATCCACTAGCCTTGAGGTACACAGGCTTTATCTCAGAGAACTTGTGTTGTCCTATAATGTGACGGTTGGAAAAGCCAGATCTGACTATTTCCGTCAACTAATAACATTAAATAAAAAAAATCCTAAAGTGCTGTTTGATACGATCAATACACTTGTTTGCCCTGCTGCCCCAGTTATCCCTGTTTTTTGTGAAGCTGACAGCAATGCTTTTTTGGGTTTTTTCACTAATAAAATTAAAATGATTAAAGATAAAATCCCGTTACATTCGTGTGGTACCACTGCTGTTTTAAGCCAGTCTCCAGCATGTGGTCCACTTTTAGGACTGTGACGATTTCAGATATTTCTGAATTGGTGACCAGGATGAAGCCATCTTCCTGTTCATCGGATGTCATTCCATTCAGATTATTCAAAAAAGTGTTTGAAGATATTGGCGCTTGTGTAACCAAAATGGTTAACCTCTCGCTGTCTACTGGCGTTTTTCCAGATGCTTTTAAGCATGCTATAGTGGAACCGTTAATAAAAAAGGCAGGTTTGGACCCGTCGGATTTGAATAGTTTTCGGCCTATTTCTAAGCTCCCGTTTTTATCCAAGATCATTGAGAAGGTAGTCTGCGAACAGTTGACATTTTACCTGGATAATAGTAACATCCATGAGCCATTCCAGTCAGGTTTTCGTAAACAACACTCTACCGAAACGGCCTTACTGAAAGTGTCAAATGACATTATGATGTCTGCTGATTCTGGAAAACACACTGTTCTAGTTCTCTTGGATCTGTCTTCCGCCTTTGACACCGTCGACCATCAGGTTTTGCTGGAAAGATTAAGGGATCAAGTAGGGCTGTCAGGGTCAGTTCTGCAGTGGTTCACCTCATATTTATCTGGGCGTAGTTTTAGTGTTACAGCAAACCAAATAAGGTCTGAGTCTGCAGACTTGCTTTGTGGAGTGCCTCAAGGCTCTGTTCTGGGCCCCGTTTTATTTTTGTTGTATTTGATCCCTTTGGGAAAGATCATACAAAGGTTCAATGATGTTTCTTTTCATCTATTTGCTGATGATATCCAACTTTACTGCTGCTTCAAGCCGTCAGAGATCTGGAAGTTAAACTCCTTGCTCCATTGTCTTGTGGAAATTAAAAAATGGCTAAGTGAAAACTCCCTGCAGCTAAATGCAGACAAAACAGAAACATTAATCATTGCCCCTGAGGATGCAATTCCAGGAATTAAACAATACTTGGGTGATTTAGGCCAGTCTGCTAAGCAAAGTCTTAGAAATTTGGGAGTTGTCCTGGACAAAGACATGTCGTTAGTGCAGCACTGCAAGCAGCTGACGAGAAACTGCTTCTTTCAATTAAGGAAAATCTCAAAACTTAGAAATATAGTTTCAAGAAATGATTTGGAGCTAATCATTCACGCCTTTGTGTCGTCGCGGTTAGACTATTGTAATAGTTTATTTTTATGCCTAAACCAGAAGGAGCTCTCTCGACTGCAATTAGTACAAAACTCTGCAGCCAGAATTTTAACACGTACTAATAGGAGGTCTCACATATCACCAATCCTAAAAGAACTTCATTGGCTACCAGTGTCTTATAGGATAAATTTTAAAATTTTGGTTTTAGTTTTCAGAGCTTTACATGGCCAGGCTCCACCCTATATTAGTGACCTGATTCAGCGTTATACCCCTGTGCGTGCTCTGAGGTCTGTGGATCAGAACCTGCTGACGGTTCCACGCACTCGCTACCGTACTAGAGGTGACCGATCTTTTCAGGCTGTTGCCCCTAGGTTGTGGAATGACCTTCCACCATCTATGCGCTCTTCTGATTCTGTTGATGCCTTCAAATGCAGACTAAAGACACATTTATTTGTTCAGGCTTTCAATTAGCTACTTGTGGGTTGATATGATCATGTACTGTCTATGCTTTTATTGTGTGTATTTTATGATATTAATGTTTTTGTTGTGAAGCACTTTGTGGCCCTATACCTGTGAAAGGTGCTATAGAAATAAACTTTTACTTTTACTTACTTTTTAGTAATATTTAATGAATAGTGATAATGAATTTAAATCCTTGCAAAAAAAAACTGCTGTACTTGGACAGAATAAATTAGAATATTGCACATTAATCAAGTATTGGCTAATATACTATAATGTGTAATGTGACAGTTTTCCAGGTCATTTAATTTCATGGTTTCTTGAAGGACGACATGCATTACTACCTTGTGGGCAGAGTGTTGCAGGCCAGTCTCAGCTCCTCTTCAGATGGAGGCCGCGATGAGGCCTGTGAGAAACCATCATCCTCTGAGCTCTGCGAGTGGTTCAGGGGGACGTGGTCCTTCCCGTCCTGGAGGGAGTACTTTTTGAGTAAAGATTAAGTCAAGCCCTGTAAACTCATCATTAATAACTAAAAACATCCCTTGCTAGAGTAAATGTCTCTGCAGCAGTGGACTTACAGGTAGGCCGTTGTCCTGGAGCAGGTCTCCCAGGATCTGCACCAGGGCAGGGAACGTCGGCCTCTCTTTGGGCTCACCCTGCCAGCAGGCCAGCATGATGCCATATCTACCAGCAGAGGGCAGCACCATCACAACAAAGCAGACACAGTGGTAGTCAACTTCCCGGACTCAACCACAAATTTGCTCCTATATCCTCTTTTAAATTTAAAATTTGGTTACAGCTATGATATTTATGAGCAGAGTAGCATTTGCTCTTGGGATTGGCTCGTTCAAATAGCAACATTTAGAGATACACATCTTATTTGAAAGCAAATTATACTTTTCTTCAAGAGGTCGATGAGTGAGAAAAAGCTAATAAAAGCATGCACTTACATTTCAGGGGAGGCAGTCTCTGGTGACCTCATCCTGACGCCATCTTTCAGTCGTTTGCAAAAGTCTTCGTCAATCTGTACTCCTGGGTACGGAGACGCGCCTGAGGGTGTGCAAAAGGAGGACGAGACATAAATTAACATGTCAGGTTAGGTTATTGTGTGTTTTGGGTGAGGAACAGTGAGGAAGATCTGCTTCTAAAAGAATTAATTCCCAATTGCTTTTGAGAGGTTGACAGGCGCTTTAAAAAACAGCTACTCCACACTTTCCTTGATATCTACACAAATGTGTCTTCATAAAAGATTAAATGAGCATGCTATGATTTTGTCTTTACCCAGTGAAAAGATTTCCCAGAGGAGAACTCCAAAAGACCACACGTCGCTCTGGCTGGTGTACACTTTGTCAAAGATACTCTCTGGAGCCATCCACTTCAGGGGCAGACGAGCCTGAGAGAACATTCAAACACCAGGCAACCATTACAGCACGGTCACATAAACAGAAAGGACACCTGCCTTTAAATTTAATCATTATGTGGGTGCTAAAATTTAAAAAAGAGTTTAATGCTTAGTAAAGGCTGAGGGTGCCGTACATTGCCTTTCCTGACGTAGTCGGGGTCTTTGTATATGTCTCTGGCCAGGCCAAAGTCACAGATCTTCACAATGTTGTTCTCTGACAGGAGAATGTTCCGGGCTGCCAGGTCTCTGTGGATACACTGCGGATACACACACAACCACACATACATCATAGCCCTGCGAGCAGGTGTGTGTGTGTGTTTGTGTGTCCCTGTATGTTTGTGGGAGAGTTTGCACGTGTACATTGTTTCCTCCTTGTCGTCTCCGATGAGTGAATTATATGATTTGGATTAAGTAAATAGCAAGGGGACCGATGGGGTCTCGTGTCACCGTGGGGACTGCTTTTTGAGAGTTAAGACTTGGTTTTAGGGTTCAGGTTACAATTAGGTTACAGTCAGGGTTAAGGTTAGGCATGTAGTTGTGATGGTTAAGGGGTTAGGATTAGGGGCTAGGGAATGTATTTTGTCAATGAGATGTCCCCACGGGGATAGAGGAACAGACTTGCGTGTGTGTTTCAGTGTCTTTGTGCCAGTATGTAATTGGGACTGGACTATGTCTTGGCCAGGCTGGGCTCTGTGGAATCACTGCAGGAGATCCTACATCACTTACAAAGCTGTCCTGTAAACGTGCCGACAGGGTAACGACTGGTTTAGATGAGTCATTTAAAGCCAGATGGTCTGCTTGGAGTCCTGTCACATCGTTGATATTTATTATTAGTTATAGCTGCTTTTTGTTGTCACCATTTTAATTTCATTATTCATACGATTAACAGTGGATTCATATGGGAGATACTGTGGCTGTAGGTTAGTGTTTTGTAAGAAAGACAACAATGAACTTTTAAAAGCATGTTTTGATGGCAGCTGAGATCAAATCAGCTCAGCAACAAATTGAAACAATCCAATACAGCAGAGATGACAGATAACTCCTCACTACTTGGACACAGTGTGTGTTTGTTTTGCAGTGCTGATGAGCTTAAAAAATCTCAGCTGTTTGTGAGAATTATTCCTCAAAGCAAAAAAGCGCACATCAAGATTTGCACTACATTTCATGACATACACATTACATCAGTACATTAAATCAAATAAAATGATCGCCAACAGAGTATGTTTAAACATTTAAAATTGTTATTATTTATTTTTGATCTAATGTGTAATTTAATTTGAAATTTAACTTAATGTAATCTTGAATTTAGATTTAATTCAATATTTAATTTAATTAATCAAAAATGTATAATGAATGGTTTTTATTGGATTCAATTACATTTTATTTGCTTCAATTTATGATTTACTTTTTTATATAATTGTATAACATTTTCAATATAATAAAATGTAGATTAAAAAAAATATATATAATCGAATTTAATCTAATCAAATCAAATCTAGAAGTATTGTTTATTTTCGCACTACTATATATTTTATTATATTATGTGTAAACGCAGAGCACAGCTCTGGTTAATTGAGAAGCACAAAGGCCTGAAGAGCTGAATGATCCTGGGGCTACAACCCACTGCCCCTGAGATCGACCTCTGGTGACACTACAGCTTATACATAAATTCTTTGTAATGGTGACAATTAACCTTTCTGGAGGCCAGAAACTCCATCCCACGAGCCACCTGGAAACTGTAGCAAATTAGATCTTCTATCGTCAGAGGAGTTTTCCACAAGTCTTCCACTGGAGAGAGAAGGCGAAGGGTAAAGGGCAGTGGTGGGAAGCAAACGAATTAGAAATTAAACAACAACAGTTAATAGACAATGAGTTAAACCATTTACTAATTAATACAGACTCACTTTTCTCCACAGCAGGATTCTGAACGGGCACGTTTGATGGTGGACTCTGAGGACTGCTGAGCGAGGAGGAGGATGGAGAAGGTGGGTGGCGAGCTCTTTGATCCATTTGACCTGCCTCGATCATGCGTCTCACCTGGCTCTGAGTTTTAGGAGATCGATCCTATGTGGGTGAAACAGTTCAATGCGTCGCCCCCAAAATCAATATAAAAAAAAACCAGTACAAAATACACGCGTCATAGGTTTTAATTTGTGAGAAGAAAATACTGTTCAATGAAACTATACTAAAGCAAAGCAGATTCTTTTAGCGGATTCAGCTGCAGTCACAGTATCGCAGCAGAACAAACAAATATAAAAGGGCAGAAACTGCTTCGTGTTTTGGATACCCTGTATGGGAGGAAGAACTCTCTCTTGGCTCGTAGAAAGTTGGACAGGTTCCCATACTTGCAGTATTCCACTATCACCATCAGTGGACCTGGTGATAAAGACAGTTTAATTGTCAGCTGTTTTCTCTACAGTACTGTATGAAGTAGGCAACAAGTGCTTCAGCACACTTTACAGTGTTTTGTCTCATTAAAATGATCTCTGCCTCTTGTTTAGGTGCTCATTTTATATTCAAAAAAGTGAGACCTGGCATCCCTCAAGCATTTCCTGCCCTTAAATCAGCTCCCAGGCTAAATTGCTGCTTTTGTTTATGGTACACAGGGTGAACATTTTCAGATGTAACCCCCTCAAATATGTGCCCCATAGGTCAAAATGATGTATGGACATACATAAATTAGGAGTGTCAAAGAAAAAGAGAGGCAGCTGTTTGACCTCCTCAGTTTGTTTGCTCTTTAAAATGTTGTGTGGAGGCTGCAGAGGGGTAGACAAAATAATGTAAACACCTAATTGAAAAGGAATTTCACTCAACAGGACAAACAAAGCTGAATAGATGTAATTTGTACACAAACTGTACACAAAATTTCTAAAACAAAACAGTAGTATTCTGCTTAAATATGCCAAAGGAAACAGTCTCCATCAACATCTTTCAAAACAGAAAAAAGTGACAAAGAAAAAAACAATCAGACGTTAACTACCTAACCAACTTGGACACGATCAACATAAACAATACAGTTGTGGTGTTACCATTTACTCTATATATCATATCTGTGTTTACCTCTAGCCACCCTACACGCACACACACATGAAATGTAATAATACATGTAAATCTGTACTCACCATTTGGTTTGGTGCAGGCGCCTACCAGGTTCACAACATTCAGATGGTTACCAATGTGAATCAGTATCTTTAACTCTGACATCAAGGCCTTATGCTCACTGGCTGTGGCTCCATCTGAAACACAGCATTATGCATAAAACACATCTTATTGTTTGTTTTTGCATATGTATATTATATATGCACATCTGCCAAGTCATGTTAACACAAACACATTTGTACGTCAGTGACTTCTTAGAAAGCTTCCTACAATACTCATGTGCTGTTTACATGAGCAGGACACACACAGAGACAAATCTCACCTTTCAGCATCTTGACAGCCACTGTGTCCAAACTGTTGCTCTTACTGATGCCGAAGATTGATGCTTCAATTACTTTACCAAAGGCGCCGTGACCTAAAACCTTCCCTATGTCAGGAGACAGAAGAGAAAAAACAGCAGAATATTCATTCTCATTGATCTACGCAGGCTTGGTTTTACTCTCACTGGAATACACAAACAGTTGTGGTTGGGAGCAGACACAAAATGTACATGCATCTGGCATCCATATAGACAGTGGGGGTGAAATTTGAATCTCAATTGCAGCATTTGGAAAACAACATGTTCCCATAAGTTGCTGTCGTGAAACAGATGCTTTTCCTCAGGGTGTTTTTAGAAAGCTGTGCTGGGAATGAGCACATATTTAACATTAGCACTTTACTTGGCAACACTTTGCCCGGATGGCCGTGATCCAAACTCATGCCATTAAGGATTCTGGAAATGGAAAACTAATTCAGTTTCATCCATCAATTTGCTCTGTATATTTCCTCAGACACCCCCCCCTTCCATTCACTCGTTTATCCCACCATCCATCCATCTTTTGCTCCCACCCTTCCCGGTCGCTCACCCAATCGGAGTCTGTCTCTGGAGATCTCCCACTGCAAGGAGTCGTAGGGCAGGTATTCGCACTGCTTGTCCAGAGGCACCTCCCCCGGGTCCATAATGATCGACAGATAGCCTGTCTTCATGTCTGCCGGGTTAACCTGAGGTTCAGAGAGAGAAAGAGCTAATGTAAGGTGAGGAGGTGTTGGGCTGAATAGGGGTGAACGAGGCAAATGAGGTGCTGGAAACACAGGACAAAAAGAGGTCGCAAAGATGAGCAGAGAAAGAGGAAATGGTTACAACCATACTTAAGATTGATAAAACCTGTTTTATTGCATTAGAAGAGTCAGAAATGTATTGTGATCAAGCTGGAAGCAAGTTTGTTTTATCATATCATTTTCATCCGCTGACTATTAATTTCATATTACAGAAACAGTGACGGCTTTCGGGGCCAGTTGCTGCAGTAGAGGCAAACGCTAGGGGTTGCAGGGTAGTGCAGGGTGCACGATATATATATTAGATAGTGAGAGAGAGAGAGGCGAGGTGCACACTCTCCATTATTTTTATAAGCCTAGAATGAGAATGTAAGACTGATTAAGTTATCTTCAAGTTAAACACCTGTAGCCATCAGCAGCAGGAAAATGCGCATAACACATACAGGTACCTTCATTAACTAAGTAAATCGACAGATACGTGTCTTTTCTGCACAGTTAAAAACAGATTCACATCTATCTTAGTTTTATTCAATGAGATTATTTATAAAACGTCATTATTTTTATTTAAAGCAAACTTCCTCTTGATTTTCAAAATCTGTCACCTCTGCTGGATTATTATATGGAGTAGTTTAAGTGTCTGCCACTTGTACATGTCATACCCTCGTATGACTAATGCAACCTTTAAAATGTCAGTAATTAAAAACAAACAGTAACAAAGGAAATGTTTAGGGCATCTTTAGATGTAATCATGACCACAATGACAGGAGTTTCTCTCCTGTTGTTTACAACGTAAATCCAACACTGTATACCATCAAAAGCGATGCTGTAGGTGATGTTCAGTATATTTCTATTAATATAATAGATACGGCTAATACATAGTAGGCTATTTCCTGTATATTCATCTTTGGTACTATTTTTGCCTCTAAGAAAACATCAGCTTAGACTCTCCTCTCAGCTCATTAAACTGTCTGCTGCTTTTAAAGACTTCATGTTAATGAGAGGAGCTGGTGTGTCGTGACTGGCTGATTAGGCTGCTAGGTGAGGTCACCAAAGATCTCAATATGTTAAATTTTTTATCTGTCTTTTTTTTTTGGCAGGGGCACATTTTAAGATCTCACCTAGGGCACAAGTGTACATGGGGGCAAGAGACAAAAAGACAGATGCTTTAAGCCGGAAGAGAGAAAAATAGCCATCTCTAAATTGATTTGTTAATGACAGCACTGCACTGTGAATTGCTGCTGAGCAACAGTGTGAAGCAACCTAATATGTGACCAAGTGAGGAAAAATTAAAAGCAATTTAAGCCTCATTATAGGCAGGCTTGTTGTTAGGGCTATTAGCAATAAAAGATTATTTGGACCAAGAAGATATCAGTGATTCTCTGAAAGAGTAAATTACAGACTTTTGCAAAGATCAAACAGGTTGTGCTCAAACGCCGTGACACGATGTGAGTCAGGTGTTAAAGTGTCTCTGTCACAGTCCGTCAGTTTCTCCCACAAACATGGCAGCACAAACACAGACAAGCAGCAAAAAGTGGCGCCCTCTGACCCGCTTCACATTGCAGAAGATGAGGATGAGCAAAGCCCAGAAGAAAACAGCAAGGACTCCAGTCCCGATGAGGATTACAATCTCCACATTGGCCTTGTCACTTGAACCTTGACAGAAAGAAAGAAAGAAAGTCACGTTTAGATGTTTTGACATATCAGCCACCACCCTATCATCTCACACATCTTTATTTAAGCTCTCTCTTTGATGACATTCCTCTTTACCTACTGTAGGGGGTGCTGTAGTACAGACTATTGATCCTGGCTTTCTCGCAAGCCCCTTAACATTGAAATCTTTAGGTTATGTCAATGTGCGAAACGGTTAAATCAGATCAGCTATTCATCATGAGACCACTTCCAGCAAACCCATCAAATTATTTATTCAGAATGTAAAATGTCTCTGACTCTTACTGTATTTTGGAGAGCTGTGCGTAACAACAAGCACAAAAACTACAGCTGCAGTGAAAAGATTGAGAGCTGAGCGACTAAAACACAGATCTGTTTGTGTTTGTGTGTGAAGATGTGAGCTCTGTGAACTGTGATTTCAGGCGTGAGTGCTCTCGAAAAAAAAGCATGCAGCAGTGAGAGTGTGCGAGCAGAATCAAGTGTCTCTGTGATTGTATGCCTGCTTCTGAGTGTGTGTGTGTGTGTGTGTGTGTGTGTGTCTGCGTGTGTGGCTGTCTCACCGATGACACGGACGGCGGCTGAGGAGTGGACACAACCACGCTGGTTGCAGGCGGTGCAGGTGTAAAGGCCGGCGTCCTCCTCTCTGACCCGCTGGATACTCAGCGTGCGGTTTGAATCCTGCAGCTGGATACCTGAGAGGAGGCACGGGATGATTAGTGGCATACACGCACACGCCATGCTTTAGCACTCCTTTACCTCACATCATAAATTCAGCAACATTTCAACCACATTTCTGGAATTCTTCGCCCATGCCCCCAGCAGCCCCTCTGAGTGAACCCAGAGCATCAGCTGTCAGTCTCTCAGAACCATATTGACCGTCCCACCTCACCCCCATCTCCTTCAAATGTTAAGAAGAGATGCACGCTGAGAAAGCTAATGAGCCATGTCTATCGGCCCGCAGGGTTTTGGGTGTGTTTGTTTGTGTGTGTGTGTGTGTGTGTGTGTGTGTGTATTCTTGTCATTGGTTCTGTTTGACACATTTGTTCAACAGTATAGGTGTGTGGGATGGCTGGTGGGTGGTTGTGTATCTGTGAGTGTGTCTGTGTTGGCTTTTAACAGCTGCCAGCTTGCCATTTTTTTTGATACAGAGCACAACAAAAAATGGTAGCATTTACCCAAAGTAAATATTAACAATTAATGTTTTTTGCTCTTTTATCTAATGTGAAGCCAGGATGTAACAGATCCTGATGGAAACTCACCTGAACAAAATAACCTCATGGGAAGATACGAGAGTCTGGTGAGTAATAGTAAGAGTAATAGTGTCTAGTATGCGTGGCCACTGAGTTTGGAGGGTGGGCGGCTGTGCTGTTGTGTAAACGTATGTATCACCTGTGTAGGTGTATTCATTCACCTGACATTTGGTGGAGAGGCTGGTTGTCTTTGAACCAGGAGAGGCGGGGCAGAGGCCTGCCCTCCACGACGCACTCCAACCGCAGAGACTCAGTCACATTCACTGTCTGGTTGGTGAGGCTGCGCTTGTACCGCGGCACCTCCGGGGCTGTGGAGAGAGGGAGAGAGAAAGAAAGAGAGCAAGAGGAGGGAAGGGAAATAAACACTATGACTTGTCTGCTCTGATGTGAACAGTGCAATATAAACCCAAGGACTGTCAATATACATATTTACAGAAGGGTCTCGTAGGATTGAAAAAAGGTCAGAAGTCAAAATATCTCATTAAAACATACATCTGTTCTCCAGGCATTGATGCGAGGTTACAGCACACAACATGAATGAAGCATGGACTTGTTTGTTTCAGCCAAGCAGCCTCTCAGCTCTTTTTTTTCTGTCACTATATATCGATGCTGTGCAAACACCAGGTACTCCATAATACCCACCAGGTATTATGTGTGGATGTGAGTGTTCGGGCTGCGTGGGCATTTGCGAGTGTGTGTATTATTAAGCTTCAAGCATCTCAGGGGTGTCTCCACTGTGACCCGTGGTGTTTCCGCTGCCAAGGATTGAGCTTTCCTCTATAATTAGCGGTGTTTAGAGTGACTACTTTCTACTCCGGGCGAAGTGTGTGTGTCTGTGTCTGGAGCTTTCATCTTTTTCATCTCTTACCTTTGACAGAGATGTATCTGAACAGGCACTGTTTGTCCCCACTCCGCCTGCTCTGAGCCTCACACACATAATGACCCTCATCCTGAAGCTGTACGGAGGGGATGGTGAAGTCCAGGACCCAGCTGTTGGATGGCTCCTGGAAGAAGAGCTGGCCATCAAGAGTGGCTGCGTAGAGGTGCACGCTCCTGCAGTCCAGCTCCTGGGGCTTTCCCTGCTCGTCCTGCAGAGCCTGGGGGTCGAGGCGGTACCACTGCAGCTGCTCGTACGTATAATTGTCTGCGCTGCAGCACAGGGACACTTTCTCCTGCTCCAGGGGATTCTCAGAGGGCTGAACGTCCACACTGAACCCCTCGGGGATGGCTTTTAAGACACACAGAAGGACAGGCGGGTGGTTAAGTGTGTGCACTGGACATTAATGAAAATTATTCCTTGAAGGGTTGGTTCACTCAAATTATTGTATTGCGTTATTGTAGAGAAATGAATAAATACAAACAGAAAATCAACATCAGATCAGACATGATATCATACTCAATATGAACAAATAAGGATTAAAAAACATGATCAGGACTTAGCTAACTCTAACTGAGCCCTGTGACTTTTCAATGAAAGTTGTTTATAGCAGTCACTTCAAGCAGAGGTTTCTGTTTAAGGTCTAACCTGTTGGGCTTGTGCCCAGGAGCCCTGTTCAATAATCCATCTGTTCTTCAGTAAAAGTAATGTTGCTGCTGGTTTTTTTTTATGTACTTTTCCAATGCTGTGATCACCACAAATTCTATTCACCTCCATTGTAATGGGGTGAAGGCAGAAACCTCAGAGAGGGATATCTCTAAAACCCTGATAAATAAATCGACAATTGTCTGCATGGCTACATAACACTACAGGGGATTTGGGGGGGAACAGACCATGTAATCATTCTGTGTTCCTTATTGTCAAACTCAGGTCGGAATCTAACCCGACATACTTACTGGTTACATAGAAGTAGATCAGCCGCTCATCTTTGCCGACTTTGTTTTCAGCAGAACACTTGTACATGACGGAAACACTGGCGTTGCGAATCTGAAGCCTGCTGACTGTCTGTGAGGTGAGGAAAGGTGGATGAGACTTTAAATTTGGGGGAAACGTGCACATTTTAAAAAGGAAGTGCAGCCTGCTGTCATGTAATTCTCTGTGAGCTGACACAAAGCAGATTTTGTGCTGACAGGGAAAACAAGAAGCAAACTCACTCAGGTGTGACTGGAAAAACATTGAGACGTTGCACACGTTTCTGTTTGTGCTCATGTTGTGATAATTGTGGTTTATAAATGTACAGGCATGTATTTCTCTCTCCCACCCCCTGCATTGTCTTGACGTGTTTATAACCATCTTACAGGAAGTCTGCAGAGGAAGACTTTTCTAAATATTTCTACTGTGTTATGGAGCTCAGAATTTGGGACACTTACGTAAAAACATCACAGTTCATGGATAATTCCACTTACATAAATGTCCTCTTTCTGGTTTACATCCTAATCATACTCTCTAGTCATTCTTTTACAGAAATTTCATAATCATATAACTGTATTCATTTTTCAAT